CAGTGCTATTTCGAATTTGTTGTTGAGGATTGATGCAAGCAGGACAAACAAAATTGGACACTTTAGATAAAGAACCAATTATTTTTGAACAAAGTTTGTGACACCACATGATTACACTGCTGACACTTGATTGAATTGTTATCTACACCAGCTTTACAAACTGAACAGGGCCATCGTCCAGTAGCTGTGGATTGGATGGGTTCACCAGTGTTCATTGCTTTGGTTTTGCTGATGTTGACTTTGAGACTGTTATACAGATATTGAGAAATATCACCACGTGATCGACACCCACTCGTGCGTTGAAGTTTAAGTCACCCAGCACAAACAACTGGTGTTCAAAAGGCGTCGCATTCACAGCTGTGTTAAGCTGTTCATAGAAACGATCTTTTTTCTCCGATGCTCCCAGTGTGGGCGCATAGCAGCTGATCAACGTAGCAGTGTGTCCTCCCTCGAGACTCAGTTGCATTTTCATTAGATGGGGCGATATGCCATGGGGAGTCTCACACACAGACTTTATTAGCTTGCTACGTATTGCAAATCCAACTCCACTTCTCCTGCCGGATGCCCCTGACAGAAAAAAGTGTATCCGGCACCTTTTTCTTCAAATTGTGAAGCATCTGATAATCTTGTCTTACTCTATTTCAAAACGAGCCAGCTCACGCGCCACGATGGCGGTCCTACGTTCATGTCGATCACTATTCTCCAACAATGTGCAAACGTTCCATGCCGCAAGGTTCAGTATTTTCCTTTTAGATTTATGTATATTTTTGCCGCAGAAAATGGATATCCAGTCAGCCGCGGTCAGCCAACAAGACGGTTTTGTTGGGCTAGGTTTTTTTAGGACACATTTCCCAGTCCCTTCTCCAGTTGGAGAAATCAGTGCTACCCTTATTGAGGCTGCTTTGAGATAAGGAGATGCTGCATTATTGACACATTTAAACATTAAAACTGCTAACTTGAAGAAAACACGTTTCTCAACCCTCAACCAGTGCAACTTATTCAAAATAGGCGTAACATGATCGAACCTCGAACCACCCAAAACCATCTTGGCCTGTATTGATGAAGCTTTGAAAAAGACCTTTTGGTGACACCATAAAAAAGACCATTGCAATAATCCAGTCTGGAAAAAACGAAAGAGGAAATCAAACTTTGAAGAACAGACGTGTTTATTGATTTTTTGACATTGCGTAATAAACGCAGTTGGTTGGAGCAGACCAATACATATATGGGTTCAGACTGTTATACAGATATAACATATATACATATAACAATGCATGTATTGTTATATGTAGTTCATCTTGTATTTATAGTATTTTTAACAAAGGAACTCAAGTTCCATTGTTTCTTTGTGTGAGTAATTTCTTTGTTGGTAGGATCGTTACAGCCTGTTGTTGGATATTTATTACAGGGTTTCTATTTTCTATTAATAAAGCCTCTGCCATTCTCAAATTACTTATTGTGTAAAGAGAAAAAGACTTCATAGAAAAGTCTTTGAAATATGTGAAGTAAATGTAAGTAAAGGATAATGAAACTCATCAGATGGTTGCATGGTGCCCCTCTTGCTCAATTAGTTTCCATTTCCACTGTTGTTGACTTCTCTACCATATTACCCAGTCTGAACCCAAATATATATATATATATATATATATATATATATATATATATATATTTTTACAATATTCTATAAATTCTACCGAATGTTTGGCGTTAATATGTTTGTAGTTCGTTTTTTCGATTTTTCTCACTAAAGTTTTTTGGTGAACGTTTAGTTTATTAAAATTCAAAATAAACTTATTTTTCGAATTCATGCTGCAAATAAGGCCATATTTCGATTCCAAATGAATCATCATCAGTGCTCCTTGCTGTATATATAGGGAAATATTGACTTTGTCAAGATGAACTTTGACGTTGTAAAAATTAACTTTGGTGTTGTAAAGTTGAACTTTGATGCGAATTAGGTGTCAGGTTTCTTTATTGGCTGGTCATCTTCTTTGGTCTCCTTTTCTTCATCGATAGCATCATATTCTTCTTTGTCACTATTTACGATGCTAGTTTTTATTACTTTGTTTTCGTTGTTGGTTAAGCGCCGGGTTGGAAGTGAGGTTGTCATTTTTTGTTGTATATTTATTTTTGGTTTATTGATGTCGATTAGGACTGCTTCTGCAATTTTAAGATGCGTGTAGTTGCTGTTCTGGTATATTACTTTGGTGTTGCTGTCGAGGATTTCACGGCTAATTGTGATTGAGTGTGTTGAGTCCAAATGAGATTTGATAGCACCACTCTGTTTATGCATCGTAAGCCTTCTAGTAGTAATCCCGATATATGAGTCATGTTGACGTGCACAGCCGTCAAAGGGGCAATTAAATTCATATATTACGTGATTACGCTTTAACTCAGAGTTATCTCTAGGACTGCAGTTGTTTTTCAGTATTAGGTGAGACGTCTTTTTATTGTTGTAATAAATTCGGAGTTTAACTTTACTATAGGACAGCTGGAGAATGAAACATTCAAAAACAATGCAAGTTTAAAACCAAATATCTACGCCAGATACGTGGATGATACCTTTGTCTCTTATAACGATTCTGAACAAATCACCCAACTTCTTGGTACCTTAAACAAATCAAAACTTAGGTTTACCATTGAAAGTGAAAAGGAACAACGTTTACCTTTCCTCGATGTGTTGGTCACCCGTGGCGAAGAACGATTCAAAACCGCGGTCTATGTCAAAGAAACGAATACAGGAATTTGTTTGAA